TTTTTCTCGTCAATCAGGCATCTGCTTATGTGGATCTTAGACTACAGTTCTTAAGGAAAAATAAAGATGGCTTTCCAACCTGGAGTCGGAAAACCTTAATGAATGTCATGCACACTTAGTGTGGGTAACGAGTACTATCGAAGGTGAATCACTGCAAATTTCCGGTGTAGAACTGACTATTAATAGCAGTCTCATTTTTTTCATAACCGAAGTAAATTAGTAGTTAAACTGGCGGCGGTCCTCTGGACTAGGCTTCTGGCATAAGAATTGTCAAACCGTCAAGAGAGAGACATTCCATTTCTAACATAATTTTGCTTGATGTGCCAAGTGAACTAAAAGCGCAAGCGACTAGGTGGTTATATCTTCAGACGTCACGTTTTCACTTTCACGAAGCGGGTGGGAGTACTAGAAGAATGCGTAGGAGGTGAATGACATTATTATCACCACATTAGCCAAAAGGGCTGCTTGGCTCGTTTCAAGAACCCTATAGCCACTTATGTGGCCTATGATTATTTTATTTGCCATTAGCCCTCAGCTGCGGTAAATGAAACTGTTAGCGCGAATCCGTACATTCTTTCATGGCATTTCATGCGATTTTCTCCCACGAGTCTCTTTCTAATTCACTAAGCTGGCTTCTGTTTGTTTGTAAAAATGAATTAATCATCTGTCATAACTAGTCATGTGTGAATCTACAGAGTTGATGCCGCACAATCTCAGTGTACGCGCATCTTTAGTGGCTTTAAAGGTAGACAACTGGAATGGGGAGAAAAGTTCCGGAATTAGCTTAGATAGGGTCTTTGTTGCGTTCATTTTCCTTCACCGACTTGAAAAACCGCCGCACGCCACACCGGAAATTTAATGAAATTTCCCATAGGGCTTAACACCGTAGTTTACAAAGGAGGAATGCAACATCCTACTGGGGCAGAAGGTCAGCAAATTTATACTTTTCCTAATTTTTAGTAGTTGATTTAACAGATTTGAATAAGTCGTGATCCGCTCGTGAAAACCTCGGCCGTCTTGCTGGGATTTGGGCCCACGACAGCGAGGACAAGCCTCCAATGCAGCCAACACTCACAAAACCTGAAATACGAGATCCTACCAACGGTTGCGAGTTTAATTATATTGGGATTAATTTGCTCATCTACCCTAGAGCAAGGTATGCATATGTGATACAGAATACTGACTGTCAAATCAGCATTTCGTAAACAATAAATTTAGAAGTCAGCGGATGACTACCAGGTGCACTTCATAAGTGATTTAGCTTATTTGAGTAATTCTTTTGACCCAAATGGCAGTATACTGAAGCTTTTCGGTAAAGTTTCATAGCTCAGATAATTCGACCGGTGGCTCGATTCAGGGCTGACCCATACTGTCGGGGGCGGGGTGTTCGAATCCCATGGAGGTTGCCGAGTTTTTCACGATTAAGTCAAGCGAATTTCAGCTGATTCACCGTTTGCATTCTGACTAATTGACAAGAGGGTAATTATCCATCATCATTTTCGGTACACGCTAGTGGGATCAGGATACAATGCATGCCTCCATCTTACAACCGAGAAGATTAACAGGGAACGTTTGTCTTTCTCTAGCCAGAATCAAAGATATGTAAAGGGAGCGTATTACAACTGTTGCTTATAATGGAAGCAAAAGGTAGGGTCATATTACCTTTTTGTTTGAATGTACATTTTCGGCTGGTAGGAAAATGGATAGAACTCGTGCTTAACAGTCTCAATAAAGTATTTGGACGGAACATGAGCGAATAGTAACTGCCTTAATAGGGCATTCTTTGTCCAAAAGACACGAAAAAATTAATCGTAATAGATCGTCGCCAACTTTGCGCTTGTAGTTATTTGCTGATTGAAGGTCTGCAGCAGATCTCGCTTTTTGTATAAGAATGTACAAACTAAAATGATGTCAATTGAAAGTCTTAATACGGAACAGACTGGAGCATTTTGACACGCAACCTAAATTGTCAATATGGATACATAATGGATGAAACCTGTTCCTCAAGTCGACGTTAAGGAGGGTATTGGCGGCGCCGAATACTGCTTTACCCAGTGTTTCGCTTCAGACTCTAGAGGCGAGGAGGTCAAAGAACGCACTCAGCGACGTAACATGATCTTAGAGAAATCAATGAGCAATCTGTGCAAAGTCATACGTGAACTAAGTCCCCTATAAGAAGATTGTGAAAATGAAATATTTTTGCGAAAATTCCCATTGAAAATTTCAGAAGATGAAATGGCGAACATACATTTATTTTCTATAAATTCTCGTCAGGCCTTTACATTTATATGGTAATTAAGTAAGTAAACTATGCCAGCAGCTTATCACCTCGGCCGAAAATCATTCCGCCTTAACGCTGATTAGATTTTGACCCCGATTCCCCCCTTACCCTTCTCTGAAAACGATACTATTTTTCTACCAATCCCCATAGTTTATTTACTTAATTACCATATAAATATAAAGGCCTGACGGCAAAAGTAGCTTATATAGCCCCACTCATATACCCCTAGTTCCAGCATTTTGTCTTGCAAAAACGGTGGTTATAGCGTTTTGTGGGGTGGGAAAATAGGATAGACAGAGAAGGAAAGTTTTAGAAGTAAGTGTAAAGTGAAAAAAATGTAGTCGAAGTTGTTTCACGCAGCCACTGGGAGCAGGTTGTTCCGCATGTAAATTGAAGGGGTGCGCCGCGCTTCGCGCCGCGGACTATACCTGCTTCCCGCGGTCGTTGGGAGTAAGTTGTTCCGCATGTAAATTGAAGGTGTGCGCGGGCTTCGTGCCGCGGACTATACTAATCTAAATTCAGAACGGTAAGTTGGACCGCAGGTAAGTTGAAGTAGACGACCTCCTAACCACCACTTTAATTTTTAGGGAAATTAAAGAAACCTGCAGTTTGATAATCGGGTTTATCCGCACTAAGCTAAATTATAATACAGATTAGGAAAATCTACGGATATAAATCAACAACACTTCTAAATACAGTCAAATAAAAATGCATTTAACATTCATTAAAGTATATTCCACTGCGTGTCCTAATTCCCCGCCCATAAAACCCAATAAACACCGTTTTCGTAGGAAAAGGTGCAGGTTGTAGGGATTAATGAGTGCGGCTACATAAGCTACTGTTGCCGGCCTGACGAGAATTTATAGAATAGGAAATATCTTAAATTTTCGGCTGTTAGGGAGACTTCTTCGTAGGCACTGTGAAACAAAAGTATCTAAGAACGACGAAAAGAACCTAAACATGCTGAAGTTCACGGAAGACACTTGAGGCAAAGGATATAGTGTAAGTCGACTAGGATTGTGAACCCTCCAGTTATAGAGCTTTTACCAATATAGAAAAGTTTCTAGGCTAAAACTGGTGTTCCAAATGTTATACTGCGTCGCCATTGGCAACAGAGAAATACATCACACCACACTATATGTAAAAGGAAAGTCACTGGAGAAGATCGGAGTAGGTGAGGTCCGAAGCAAAAAAATCTTAGTCGATCTGATTGAACACCGACTTTGACTACGGTCCTGGAAGGTCTCGCTGTCGAGTGATGGACGCAATTTGTACTTATATAGCTAGAAAGTTGGATTTTTGTTTAGAAGGTTTTCGATTTTCTCATACTTTACCGAAACCTAGACTTGCTTTATAGTTCTACAGCATCAGACCAGCAAAAACTTATCAAAACCAATGGTAGATACTTGATATTCACTGAAATGGTACGGATTGGACGAATGGAACGGTGAAATAGGGAAGTGACTATGAAGCCCAGTCGCACTAGTGGATGAGGTTCATGGAAGACTCATCCACTAGTAATTGACCTTTCTTGTGCACATTTATCCTAAGCAAGCTTTGAAAAATTGTCATCTGAAGTTATTAGAGTTAGGATGTAAAATGACCATTTTTAGTAAATAAATGCACCGCTTAGACGAGATAGTTAATCCTTCGCATATCTGCTGTGCGACACTTCTAAGCTTGGCGTAAACTAAGTTCGCACAACCGAAGCGCGACCTGAACGACCTAGTCTATTGTTTTGGCCGGCAGATGAGTACCGCTAACGGTCCAAAAGTAGAAAATGGGGCTGCTACCATCACACACGTGCCATTATCTTGCTTAATTTACACTCACGGCCGAGACCCAAACTCGACTTCATGCTGGACAATCCTCCATTGTAAGTATCGCTTCGAGAGGAAGAGGGCGTAAATATAAAGTAGCTCATCAGGAAGTAAGATGGAAATCACAAGTCTGTCATAGTCTTGTGCTGGACATCCTGGAAACCTAAAATATATGTAATACCTTCGCGAGCGACCTGAAGGTGACGTTAACGTCGTGAGGACAACTTTACGGACTTGTTCTTCGGTATTGCACAGATTAGGGGTTCACCAACATGATGCTTTCACCGTTTTCAGTTGACCGGACAGAAGATGCCTAGAAAATCTGTTATCAAGATATACCTTCCAGTTGTGCCTAATGGTTGCTCTCTATAAGTTGGCAATTGCTTTTGCGTAAATATGCTACAGACAATCCAACAGTAATACACGATAGGAAACTTTCGAAAGCTACATGACCCGTGCATATGTTGTAGTCCTCGTTATTAATAAGCATCCTCTTTACGAAGAATCATGGTTCAAATAGGAACTGGATTATCGAAAGCAACTATCCCTCACCATCAAGCACTCTCCCATCCCATACGCATAGTGGTTTGATAAATAGACTGAAAAGGTGAAAATGACTGAGGCTGGGATTGGGCTCAAGTATTAACTCCAAATTCGCCAGTTCAACCTGTGTTGGAACAGGCTTTCATTATTTTCCGTAATCTCGTCAATCTTCGTTCACTCGAATGCCCTTAAATACAAGAACATGTTAACAAAGAGGCCCATTGGGTGATCCCACACGAACAAGAGGTAAGCGATATGGCACATTTCGACAGTCTTCACGACGCCAAACACGAAGTCACTTGGACTCTCCCTGAATCTTCCACGGCCATCAGCTTTTTATGCCTTACCCTGATAGTTCATTTGTGTTGATCATCGGGACAAGCAATATCTGGCGGCAGGAGAAATTGAACTTCCTTTGGATAGTCTCCCTCTCCAGCCCTCACGAGCCCATGAAAAGCTACATAAACCTGACTGGAGAGGAGGTAAGTTACAGTAGACGATCCCTGCTATAATAAGTCTTGCTCTTTCCCGAAGACAAAAGCAGACTCTAAACACACGTTCGTCTGCAATGCTGCATCAAAACGTTTTCATCAATAGTATAAACCGTTAAATGCTGCGATTATCACCGTTCAATAGAGCCACACATGACAACTGAGCGTCAGGTAAGACCACAGTTACAAAGGGAAATTTTTCTCCATGGGACTTTTTGAAACTCCCACTGCATCGGCGTAACTACTCACCCCCCAAACTCTATACATATATACACA